TAGAGGATGAAAAAATGTGTCGAACTACGGTACTACTTTTCATATTGGAGGGATGGTAGATTTACTATCTTATGCGACGGTATCCTTTAGAAGAAAAAGAAGAAAAAATATCTACTGTTTAACAATATACATTTTCGAATAGAGAAATAAGCTAATCATTGGTTATGAAAAATAAACTAATCTAAGATTTGTTTTCAATAAAAATAACGAAAATTTATGAAATTTCTTTAGATTATTTTGAACATGATGAACATTTAAATGATCAAATAATTGGTGTTCGTTTAATAAATTTAACAAAAATTTTTGATAAAAAAAATTTGCTGTACAAAATTTATCATTAGATTTATATGAAGGTGAAATACTTTCATTTCTTGGACATAATGGAGCTGGAAAAACAACAACAATGTAAGTTATATAAAATATTCACAAAGACAATCTTTTAAGACAAAGAAAAAAAAAAATCTTTATTCAGGTCAATTTTAACTGGTCTAATTCCAGCTACATCTGGAACTGCAATAATTTATGATCAAGATATAAATATTGATATAGATAAAATACGAAAAAATCTTGGATGGTGTCCTCAACATGTATATAGAATATTTTCATTTATATAAATATAATTTTGTTTTGTTAATAGAATGTTTTACTTGAAGCATTAACAGTTGAAGAACATTTATTATTTTTTTCAAAATTAAAACAAGTTCAAAGTAAAGAAATGAAAAAAATGATTGAAAAGTACATAAATAAATAAATTTTTCATTTGACTAGAAAAAAAAAGATTATTTTTTTTTCATTTAGTATGTTATTTGATGTTGGTTTAACATCAAAACGTAATGCAATAGTTTCAACATTATCCGATGGAATGAAAAGAAAATTATCTGTTGCAATGTATGTCTGATTTTTGTTTTCTTCATTCAAATTTAAGTTTCTTCGTTTTTTTATCAAAAGGGCTTTTGTTGGTGATGCAAAAACAATCATTCTTGATGAACCAACAGCTGGTGTTGATCCATATGCACGACGTGCTATATGGGAAGTATTATTGAAATTAAAACGAGGACGAACTATATTGTTAAGTACTCATCATATGGATGAAGCTAATGTTCTTGGAGATAGAATTGCTACTATTTCAAGTAAAATTTTACTGGAATTTTTTTTGTTGTTGTATCTCTTTAATTATTTTTTTTTTTGCTTTTTATTTAGATGGACAATTAAAATTTTGTGGAACATCACTTTTTCTTAAAACAACATTTGGTGAAGGTTATATTTTAACATTAATTAAAAAAGGTAAGCGAAGTCGTCATAAACTCAAAGTTCATGGATGCCGTCTTCTATTAGATAGTGAGATCTACAGATGGAATCGGTTTGTGTTTTTTTGGAACTAAACCGATTCCATCTCAGGTGGGATCACAATAGCAAAAAATATCCACAATTTTTCCTTCCCCGTTTGTTCTGTTCGATCAAGCTGCACTTTTTTCATGAAAAAGTTGGTTTGAGAAAGACTCAATTCGCTATTTTTGTTATGTAAATTTGATTTCTTCACGTTTAAAGAGAATTTTTGAATCTTAAAATATACTCAGCAGATAGGTACTGCTTCAGACTATACAATGGTCACAAAAAATTTTGAAACATGAAAAGTATGAATATCCTTAAAAAAAACATTGTTTGTTTTTTGTAGATCCATGGATGGCTTCAAAGAATGATGTTACATCGACTATAACACAATATAAACCACAAGCATATCTGAAAGAAGAAACAAGAAAGTTAGTTGAAAAAAGATGAAATTTGACTTGATGAGAAAATTATTTGTTTTTTGAAGGGAACTTCAATATATTTTATCATTAAAAGGTCGTCATTTATTTCCGAAATTTTTTTCTATACTTGATTCACGAAAAGAATTATTATCAATAATTGGTTATGGTTTACAAGATGTTTCATTGGAAGAAGTTTTTCTTAAAGTTACAGAACAATATAAAAAATCACCTAATGCAACTGAAATTGAAATTGAATTTAATTCTAATAATTTAAGACAAGAAAATACTACAAAAACATCATCAACATTGTAAGTTTTATTTTAATTAGAAATCTACCGTTATTTATCGAATTTTTTCTTTATATTTAGCGATTCATCAATACCAAAATTGAGTATGAGAAATATTTTTCTAGTTTTTTTTTTCTCTTTTCTATATTATTGATTATTTAAGATATTAATCAAGATCGTGTAACTGGAATACATCTTTATGCAAAACAAGCATTATCAATAATAATAAAACGTTTTATATTTAATTATCGTAATATGCTTGGTTTAGTAACACAAATTTTATTACCTTCATTTTTTATAACTGTTGCAATGACTGTTGCATTAACTGCACCTGGTTTTGCTGATCCACCTGCAATATTATTATCAACATCAATGTTTTCACATTTAAATTATCTATATACTCCTATATCTGGTTTAAATAATTATAAATTAAGAAATATTTCTCAAATTTCAATTTTTAATGCAAATCCATATGATTTATCTAAAACAATTCATTATCCATCAGGTATTGGTTCAACATGTTTACTTAATAATCCATATATGAATGAAACAACATTAAAGTTAGAAAATTTCAATGGTTCATCATGTGAAAAAGTTTATCATAATGATTTTACATCTTATTCAGAAAATGATATTAATTGGTCAAAAATGTTAGAAAATAATCAAACATATTTTAATCAAAGTTATCAATCAATTGCAACTTTATCAGATACATATTATAGTCCTTGTCAATGTTCAACAAGTCAATCAAGATTTATATGTTCATCATTTCTTAAGCCAGAATCACATCGTTTAATAACAAATGATAGAATATTATATATAACACAAGAACAAAATGAAATTCTTTATTATTTATATACAGCAGATTATCATCGTTTAGATCGTTATGGAGGTTTATCTTTTGGTTTAGTACAAGATTATATTCCTAATGATTATCCAATTAATAAAGTTAATCAAATTTTACATAAATTAGCTGTAAAAAATATTGCAAGAATATTTACTAATCATAAAGGTTATCACAGTTTACCATTATATATTAATATTATGTCAAATACCATTCTTCGAGCTAATTTACCTTTTGAAAAAGGTCTTCCTTCTGCTTATGGAATTACGACATTTAATCGTAAGTATACAAAACATATATCAACATATTTTTTTATAGAAATAAAAAGGTTTATTTTCGTACTTTGTTCTTTTCAAATTTAATGGTTTTTGTATAACTTTGTCTATAGACTGAATAAGTGATTATTGGAGAACACTTAAAATTTCAACATAAAAAAGTGATTTGAATTCTTCAAATATCGAATGTTAGAGGAACACACTTTTCTAATTACCTATTTTTGAAGTTCAATGTCTTTATAATTTGAGGTGTAAGCCGATTGACTGAGCTGCAGTCGATGGCGACGAAACGTTTAAGATATCTCGGTCACTGCCGTGATCGCATTATAAAAAATAGATATTGGATTTTAAAAATTTTTGTTCTACTCAGGATCAGTTTCTAGGGATATTCTTGTCTAATACCTTGTCAGTACATTCTCTAAGATTATTTTAAAAAAAGCATTGAAAACCTTTAGTGATCACCCCTGCCAAAAGCTAAAAAAACTGTTAAACATTTCCAGTCAAAGTTTGAGATCTCCATAGTTACCGTCATCAATTTGTACAAAAGCTTACACCTTTATTAATAACGAATTCATTTTCTTTAAGCTTAAGCATTGTATATTTCTTGATGGTCGACAAGTCAGTTAATAATCAAGGTTCTAAGAGAATAATTATAATTCGAGAAAAAAAAATAGAAAATCATGGTGAATCTCTCAGATTTATTTCAGTCATATCTAACTCTATAAAATGATATATTTTCGAATGAAAACAACGTTTCATATGTGTGATTTTTCTTAGTCATCTTAAAATATTGAAAGATGTAAATCAATTCAAGTGTCTGCCTAAGAATTCAAAAAAATTTGTTTTGTTGAATTTTTTTCTTCAATAATAATAATAAAGATGATTTAAAGTATGACTCAGTAACAGAAATACAATCTCATTGGAATAAATGTTTCTGAAAATTTAACTGGAATTCTGTCTAGAGATTGACTCTTGAAAAACCAAAATATTTCACTATCATTTTGTTCATTTGTAATAAAAACTTGTTTCAACAATAATAAAACAATTAAATGTCTTTATGAACTTTTTTGTAAAATCTTTTATCAATTGAATTTAGTTGAATGAATAAAACTAGTCAACGTCTGTATCAAATAGATTTACCTAGGAAAAGTTATTTAGTGAAATTCTTTCCTTTTTTATTTTTAATTTTTATCATTGAGAAAAAAAAATGAAAAAAAAAATTTTCTATAAATTATAAAAAGAAGAAAACAAATCTCTTCTTGATTTGTAATAATTTCATTCGGATAAAAAAAAGAAAATATTTATTCTTTAAATAATTTTAGATCCAATGAATGAAACAAATAATATGTTATCAACAGAATATATTTTACAAGGAACTGATGTTGTTATTTCAATTTTTATTATTGCAGCAATGTCATTTGTTCCAGCATCATTTACATTATTTCTTGTCTATGAACGTGCAACAAAATCTAAACATATTCAATACATAAATGGTCTTTTTCCATTAGTTTATTGGTCAACAAATTTTATTTGGGATCTTTTAAATTATCTATTACCTGCTACTTGTGCCATAGTTATTTTACGTTTATTTAATGTACCTGCTTATGTTGAAGGAGAAAATTTTCTTGCTGTTATTAGTTTATTTCTTATGTATGGTTGGTCAATTATACCTGTGATGTATCCGTTTAGTTTTCGATTTAGTGAACCAAGCAATGCTTATATATTTTTAATTGTTATTAATTTATTTAGTGGTATTACATGTATATGTACATCTTTTTTTCTTGAAATATTTATACTTGGTAATCCATCTACATCAACATTAAGTATTATTACAAATACAATGAAAAAAATCTTTAAAATTTTTCCCAATTATTGTTTGGGAAGAGGTTTAATTGATATTGGTTATAATGTAAGTTCATGTAGTTCAGAACAAAAAAAAAAAAAACCTTTTTCATTTGTTTTTTATTCTGTGGTGTAACGCGCTTATGAGGAAAGTTTCCCAACGAATTAATTGCTTTTGACTCCAGACAATGTGTATCATATAGACATTAATGTGTTATGAATAGTCTGAAAAGAGTTTGAATCGTTAGCTTTTTAGTGCATAGATGTTGAATTTTGATGATATTTTTTAAGTTAATACTGGAATGCTCTCTTCAGGTACAAAAACAAAACTAATTTTTCAATTTCGATTTGAAACTTTGTTTAGAGATAGCCCTTCATGAGAATAGTTTATTGTGAACGTTTCAGATCTCTTCATTATTCTTATCCTAAGATACGTTCAATAGTAGAAGTGTATCGTTTATATCGCTCATATACATTTATAGATTCGATGTTCGTACATCAGAATAGAAGCAAATCAAAAGCCTTAAAACTTTTACAATAAACTCTTCTCGTTCTGACCTATCTCTGAATACAGTTTCAAGTCAAAATTTGAAAATCAATTTTTCCGTTTGTACTTGTGGAGGATCACAGCATTAATTTTAAAAATACTGTCGTAATACGGTATATCTGCAGCAAGAAATTAAGAACTCGAACACTTGTCAGAATATTCATAACTCATTGGTGTCTATATGATGCATATAATCTCGACTCAAAAATGGCTAAACAGTTGGAAGAAACTTCCTTCATTAGTTTCCAATAAAGTCCTTCGAGTTAGTCTGAGTCTGAAATGTTTTTGTTAATCGAGTACGTATCGGAAAATTTTGGAATCGATTAGTTCTAGTCTTCAATAAACTCTAATTACAATAATCACTTGACTATAATAAATAACAAGTAATATATTTAATTTGAATAGGATTATCATAATTCATTTTATAAAAAAACTGGTTTAAATGGTCGTATTCATACACCATTTATTTGGGATATAACAATATCAAATTTAGTTTCAATGGCAATATGTGGTTTTGTATTTTGGATATTAACATTATTACTTGAATATAGATCTTTTCATTCTTCAATAATTCCCAATGCGTTACCATTTTCACATTTAGATGAAGATGAAGATGTTGCACAAATTCGTCGACAAATATTAAATAAAACAATTGATGATAATATATTAATTATGTCAAATTTATCAAAATGTTATCATACAAAAAAACATAAAAAATGAATTGCTGTTAATAATTTATGTATGGGAATACGTTCTGGTGAATGTTTTGGTTTGTGTGGTGTTAATGGAGCTAGAAAAACAACAACATTTCGAATGTTAATTGGTGATCTTTATCCGACAGCTGGTTATGCACATATTCATGGTTTTGATAGTATGAAAGAAAGACGAGAAGTTTTTAAATATATTGGTTATTGTCCACAATTTAATGGACTTTTTGATGAATTAACACCTATTGAACATATGTTATTAATGGCACTTTTAAGAGGAATTTATTATCATGATGAAGGTCAACATGTTTATCAATTATTAAAACGTTTAGATCTTTGTGAATATTTAAATATACCTGTTAGAAAATTATCTTTAGGAAATCGAAGAAAATTATCAACAGCTATGGCACTTGTTGATAATCCATCGATTCTATTTTTAGATGAACCAACTAGTGGAATGGATCCTTCATCAAGAAGATTTTTATGGAATGTTATTAGAAGTTTAGTTAAAGAAGGAAAATCGATTATAATTACTTCACATAGGTAAATTTATTTAAAATATTTTTTGGAAAAAAAAATATTATTATTTAAACTAAGGAAAGAATTATTATCTCAATTGAATTTATCATTCATAATAGATTAAGTGTAATAATGGATAGATAATTACTTTCTTCGAATTTTACTGAAATATGTCCAAATACCATCGAAAAATATAGAGTGTTTCAAAGATCCCAACGAAGAAAAAAACGTAAATAGCTTCTTATCAACTCAAGGAATTTCAATACTTTTTTAAAATAGTTTGGTTACATATTCATTAGAGTTTTATTCATGATCAAATTTGAATATGCCAGCATTGTAAAATGGTAATTGCAAATTGAATTTCGAAAGAAAACACACTAACTAAACATTGTATTAACAATACATTCTAGCAATTTTGTGAAACTAGTGCTATCGAAAATCGTTGACCGTAGGGTAATTACTGAAGAAAAAGCTAATGATGCTTGTAGAAACGAACTAGTGTGTGATCTATGTAACTCTTCTTGGTAGAACTGTTGAACAAATTGTACCTTGTATGACTTTAATAAAAGATATTTTGTTATAATTCTGTATGGTATTATTTGTGGTAATGAGCAAAGTTGTGCAATAGATCGAACAGTCGATTCTGGCTCATTGTCACAGAAATTCGTAACTTCATTGAATTTTTCTTCAATAATCGTTCTACAGTCGTCCAGAATAATGTGATCGATTTTCGTCAGTATCAATTTCACAAAATTGCTGAAATCTGTTTCTAATATAGGGTTTTATTGACGTGTTTTTGCCGAATTTTGCTTGCAAATTTCGTTTTACAATTGTAGTTAACTCGAATTTGGTCATCAGTAAACTTATTGTAATTTTGACTTCTGTAGACATAGATATTTTATCTGAAACTTTAATGAATATGTGATCAAATTGTACAAAAAAAATATTTAAATCTCTTGAATTGCTCAGAAGCTATTCACGGTTTTTTTTTCGTTCGGACTTTTGGAACATCCCGTGTGTCTTAACTTTGTAGATAAAATTAATAGAAGCTAAAAACTGAATTTTTAATACTTCTTCGATTCTTTATGAATCAGATTTCGAGATCGGGCCACTTTTTTATGTCTCAGCCCAAAAGAAACTGCATTGACAAAGATTTTTTTTCTCAATAGACAGCTATTCTACATTTTTTGGCTTTTATAAAAAGTGATGACCAAGGGGAATAGCGTGAAGAAGCTTCTCCCTATCTTCCCTCAGGGGTGAGCCAGATCCTAAAAAAGTTATGTCAGAAACGAATAAAATCGTCGGGTCAGGCGGCTTGTCCGGTCCGACAAAATATTTCGTTGAACTGAGCGGCCCGTTTCGAGGCCTGATATGAATTCGATATATGCTTATTCGCATTTAAAGATTATAAAGTTCAATGTCGAAAAGAAGAAAAGAACGTCTTTAATTAATCTTCTAGAAATTTATGTATATATTATTTCATAGATATATCTGAATTCAACGATAGAAGAATTAAATAATTTCAAGACGTTCTGTGACCAAATTTGAAGAAACTACGCTTTTTGTTTTGTTTTAATTCGATAACATTTATTCTTATTACTCTTTTCTTTATTTAAAACGATATTATCTAATTATTCAACGAAGTAAATAATAGATTTTGTATAATGTTTTCTTATTTCAATAATGATAATTTTAAGACAAAGTATTAATATTGTAAAATGAAATTTTTAGTATGGAAGAATGTGAAGTTCTTTGTTCATCCATTGCAATTATGGTAAATGGTTGTTTTCGTTGTCTTGGTTCAACTCAACATTTAAAAAATCGTTTCGGTAATGGTTATACAATAAAAATTCGTTTAAAATCTTCAACAAATTCAACATTAGATCAGACAATTCTTAATTGTTTTTCATCAAATTTTATTTTAAAAGAACGTCATATAAATATATTACAATATGAAATAGCTGAAATACATGTTTCATTAAAAGATATTTTTTCTAAACTTGAAAATTTATTCATTTATGAACGTATAACTGATTATAGTGTGTCACAAAATACACTTGATAATGTATTTGTTAATTTTGTACGTGATCAATTTGATGCATCACAACAATGACACCGAAAATATTTGGACGAAGACAAGAACATTTTAACAATATTCTGGATGACACATTTAATGCTCGATCATTCGCTACTACGAAATCAAAACCAAATAATACCAATAAAAGACTGGAAAGAATTCCGACAATTACTGCTTGTAATTGTAAAACTCACACAAACTCTCTTGCAGTATTGGATTGTTCGAGATAGTGAGAGAATTAATATACATATGAATCATTGCATTGTTGGTCACCATTATAATTATCTGATTTATTTTTTATAAAAAATATCTTTGTACAACGAAAAAAACAAATGTTTTTATAAAATAAATTCTTGTACAGTGATTTTTCCTCTGAGATAGTAAATGAATTTCAAAATAATTTCTTCTATTTAAATAAAATTTTTAATTATTCGGTGAACTATTAAATAGTTCAATGACTCAATCATTTT